TGTGTGTGTGTGTGTGTGTGTGTGTGTGTGTGTGTGTGTGTGTGTGTGTCAGATTGTGTACAGAACCTTTTAGAGACACAAACAGGTTGATGTTGAAGGTGTATGGATCCTGATGTTGCAGGTAAGGCAGTGGTTCTGGATCCTGGAGGTTTACATGAAAGAAGAAAATCAAACTTTTGTTCAGAGAACTTTATTCTTCTGTAGTTTGTTTAGGGTACSATAATTAAAATACATTTAGCATCTGTTTGTTGCAAGAATTCATCTGAATGACGTTTTTTCATGACTGATGATTTGAAACAATATTTTTGGACATTTTAAGGATTAATGAAGTATTTACCTGGATAGGATTGGGCTCTGCAAAGGGTAAAAGTGCCTCCATTGGTACCACCCAGGGAGAGATGGTGGTCCCAAAGTTCTTCCCCAGGAATGGTCCTAAAGGAACGTACTCCCAAGCTTGAATATCTCTGGCTGAAAAATACAAAAACACCTTAATTCAGTTTTGTTCCTGTGAGAAAATCACAGCTCAGTCTGTTAGTTTTTCAGTTATAAAGACAGACTTCATAATATTCTGTTCAAGTCGTAGAAAATGTTCAGAACAAAGGAGGAAAACCAGGCTGTGCTTCAGGTAAACATGTAGGATAAAGGTAACGATAGCTTTAAAACTTTGTACTGTTGAAGAGAAAAAATACGTATTTTATAAATATTAGCATCTATTCAAGCTACCAGGACATCATTCAACATTTAAAGTGCTTGAATCAAAAGTTCCTTCTGGTTCCATAAAGATGTCTGCTCTGATCAAAAACCCAGGTCTGACAGAGACCAGATGTCTCAGGTCAGGAAAAATCACAAGACAGCTGGACTCACATCAGTCCACCTGTCCATCCTGWGGGTTCCTTCAGGTGTTTTCAGGAGTACTGTGGCTGATCAGTCCTTAGAACCATCAGGTCTTTGATGAATTTCCTTCGGGATCATAAAGTCCCATCTCGTCTTATCTTTAGCTCCTGCTGCTGAGTCAGAGCTCAAGAGGGACTTCAGATCACGTACCATGTATCATTCATCATGTACTGTGATTGGTTCACATATTATTGGCTGAACAAAGTGAGTGTGTTCCAACTACAGGGGGACCACACTTCTGAGCCTCCCTGGTAAGGTCTACTCAGGGGTCCTGGAGAGGAGGGTCCATCGGATTGTTGAATCTCAGATTCAGGAACAGCAGTGTGGTTTTGGTCCTGGTCGTGGAACAGTGGACCAGTTCTACACCCTCWGCAGGGTCCTGGAGGGTTCATGGGAGTTCAACCAGTCTACATGTGTTTTGTGGACTTGGAGAAGGCGTTCAACCGTGTCCCTCAGGGATTCCTGTGGGGGGTACTCTGGGAGTATGGGGTACCAGGCCCATTGATACGGGCTGTTAGGTCCCTGTAGGACCGGTGCCAGAGCTTGGTCCACATTGCTGGTAGTAAGTCGGTCTTGTTTCAGGTGAGAGTTGGACTCCACCAAGGTTGTCCTTTGTCACCGATTCTGTTCATWACTTTTCTGGACAGAATTTCTAGGAGCAGCCGAGGTGTTGAGGGGATCCTTTTTGGTGACCTTAGGATCACATCTCTGCTTTTTGTGGATGATGTGGTCCTATTGGCTTCATCAGATCCTGATCTCCAGCTCTCACTGGAGCAGTTCACAGATGAGATGAGGATCAGTGCCTCCAAATCCCAGACCATGGTCTTGAGGGTAGGGTGTCTTCTCTGAGTCAGGGAGGAGGTCCTGCCCCAAGTGGAGGAGTTGAAGTATCTCAGGGTCTTGTTCATGAATGAGG